GCTGGATTTGCCTCGCTACGGTGCGCGAATTGAAGTTACTGCATCAGGCCAAGAAGCCGGGCACGCCGAAGGGCCTCAGTGCGAGAGGGCAGTGGTTGGGGAGGCTAGAGAGACCCACAGGCAGTTGGACAGTCCCAGCGCAGAGGCGAGAGAGGTGCTCTCAGCTCTGCTGCTCGGCAGTGTGTTAGAGTCATGCACAAAAGTCCAAATGTAAGTCCAAGGTGAATCTGGATCACGTGATTTCAGTGGCCAAAGCTTGTCAATTGACTTTGGGGAGAGGGGAGGACGGTTCATATTCAGAGACTGCATCTTTATGACTTTTCAGAATTGTGCACTCAGAGGAAGCATTGAGACAGTGCCTAAGGAAGGGAGGGTGATAAGTGGATTGCCTGATCAGTTTTACATCTGGTGTAAGTTAGCTGTGATAGAATCCTGTTCTTAAGTTATGTGTCACATTGTTTCAGTTCCTTCATAAAATAATTGATGGCATATGTGGCCGTGCGTATCCTCGATACCAGGATTATAGCAGTATTTGGAGCTTGTCAGAGTGGATGGAGGTTTTAGAAGAAACAATGACGTATTTCAGAACTGCAGTTGGCAAAAACATACCTGATGAAGAGGTAAGGGCTCATCACTAATTGGGCTTGACTTTGAGAGATCATACTGGAGTGGTTAGTCTTGTAGTTCATTTAGTCCTAAAGCATTTTTATAGTGTAGCATTTGAACAGTAGTAGACAGCCTAAATAGGTAGAAGGTGAGCAGCATTTAGAAATACACTGCAAAGACTTTTAAAAGAAAAAGTGAAATTGACACTGATTTTTTTTTTTTTAATGGCACCGGATAATACTTACTTGTTAAAATACTGTTTGAGTCCCTTAAATTAATAAGTACCACCAAATTAAATCTGTTTTCTTATGTAACCTGTCATTACTGTTCACTAGCAATAAAAACAATTTATGCTCTTGTTTGACTTTTTTTGTTCATTGCTACTGCACTGAAGTGTTTTAAAATATTGACCGTATATAAATTAAAAAAAAAAAATCTAGACTGTTAATGGAGGACCATGTGGGACAGGGACTGTAATTCGGGGCATTCCAATATGCTTAAACCTTGCAAGAACTTGTTCTGTTATCAGAAATCTTAATTCTCATGTTTTGCCAATTGCTTGTATTTTGACTACCTGGTAGTAGCTAGATCAAAGAAAGATACTTTTGTAGGCATAGGAAAGTCTGTACATCACTGTGTCTCTTTCAGCTAAGCTAATGTATTTTTATCTCCACTCTGATGTTCAGAAACTTCAGAGGTAAGTCTGTGGTGTTTGTGTGATTTTTATTTTAGGGTGGCATCTAAGAAGGCCAATAAAGCCTCAATTCTCTGGTCTCTTTTAATGACAAGAAAATTATTTTTTCTTTGTACATTGCTGTAGTAAATGTGGACTTTAACTGTCAAACACAGAGAGCCCCAAATGAGGGCAGTGTAAGAAAGATGAGACTATGGAATCTAGTATCACAGCTATCTGGGTAGAGGCTTGGATATCTACAGAGCACAGCTATTACACGTGGTGCATGTTATTTCTATGATTCATAGTTTAAGCAATCAATTTTTATTTTTGTAGGCTGCTCAGCAGATAAATGAGTTAAATTCAAACTATCAAGAAGCAATCACAAAATGTCTAAAAGGCAGAAAGGAAGAAATCAGGAATGCTCTAGTGGAAAGAGTAAATGCAATCTCTTCTGCCCAGCTGCAAGATTTTGACTGGCAGTTAAAGGTGAGTGTGTTGCCTTAATGTTGTTTGAAGGAAGTGTTCCAGAATACAGAAGTAACTATTGATATAGTCACCTTAGGGCTTCTCGTTCTGGAGCGTGGTTCATTTTTTATGGGTTTCAGAAAAGGACATTCATGATAACACATCAGAGACTTGCCAGAAATTTGTATAAACTGTGGAAGTTAAATTCCCCCCCCCTTTTTTTTTTATCCTTCTTTCTTTTAAAGCTGCAATACCAATCCCTTTCCTGAAAGGAGACTGAGTGTTCAGGAACACTGGAAACTTTCATATAATGTTAGGATTTTGAGGCCTGAATAGACAGTATTTTTACTCAGAGGAAGAAGAGGTATTTAATTTTAAGAGCAGTACACTGATTCAGGATGTCTCCCTGACATTTTTCAAATTTTTAGGGTCCTGCAATAAAAATTATTTAATAATTAGTTTGAAATAATTTATATTTAGACTTATTTTGATAAGTCGTCAGTGATAACTGTTGCCTAAAGTTGTTTGGTACTCGGGGGTTATGAAGACAGCTGTTTTAAATTAAGCTCTATCAGAGACTTAAAATATAAACAGTATAGCAGTATATGTTGTTTAGTTAGTCATGGGTGCTGTTAAACAGATTTGTAGAGCTGTTAAATAGTTTTACATTTTAACAAGACTGTTAAATAATTTGTGTAGCAAACAGCTTTGGAAATCAAAGAGCAATGCCTACAGTAGACAGGGTTTTGCAAGAGCAAATATGGCATCATAATATGCTCCAGATGAACTGTTGCTGGGGATTGATCTCTGGCTAGCTGTATTTAGTGCTGACAAAAATATAAACTTCACTTATGTGAACTCTTGGTTTTTTGCCTGTGGTTTCTTTTAACTTTTTCTTTTGGAGGAATTTTTGAGTTTCTTTCTATTTTGTGACAGAACAAATTTCTGGTACTTGTCTGAACTATTGTATTAATTTTTTTAAAATGACTTTTTTTCCTTGAGCAGGTTGTGATTTTTTTTTAATTGTCTCTCTTCTGCTGTACTGCATTCTGCTCTCTAAATAAATAAGATAGGTGTGTACAATACTGACCTACAGTATTATCAGCTGATGTTTGATTTTAATATATTTTATACTAGAGTGAGTATAATAACAAAAAAGAAAGCAGGATTGGTATTTTGTTGTCTTCATCAGTGTTTGTCAAATAGGATATCTGACAAACAGTGTTTGATCAGCTGTACAGAGTGTTGAACACTGCACAAAGGTGCTATCTTTCTCCCAACTGCCCTTTCTATAAGACCCTTTCTACTTGTTGATTACCAGAACTATTTGAATATGGTGACTTGAGCATTCATATACTTCACTTTTAAAGAACCATAATCAAATGTGTCCTTTCTTTTCACTTAGAACACAAAAATGTAGCAGCCCAGGAATTTTAACAAATTGTTTGAACAAATGTAGTTCTACGAAGAGGGGTTTTAGTATTTCAGTATGTTGTTGATATTAACAAACAAACAAAAATTCCAACAACAAGGAGAGAAATAAAAGCTAAACCAAAAATTGCAGAGATTACTTTTGAGAAGTTAGTTTTGTCATGTTGTTGTGTGTTCTGTTAGTACACATTTAATATAAAGTGCAGATGTGATGCTATGAAAGACTAAAAATAAAAACTTAATGGCTCCAACTTATGCTTTGTTGTTGTTTCATCAATCTCCATAGCTTGCTCTCTCCAGCGATAAGATCTCCATGCTGCAAATGCCACTTCTCAATCTTGATTTGGATGTGAGAGAAAATGGTGAAATTAAGCCAATTTCTATAGAGATGAATAAGGAAGAGTTGCAGAACCTCATAAATGCACTGGAAGCTGCTAATAAGGTAGCTTTTACTGGTACCATCCTTTGTTCCTGACTTACCATGTACTGAATTTTTTTTAACTGAAATTGTTCTGGGTATCTTGCTGAAACCCAAAGTAAGTCATTCACTGTCAAAATGACTAGAGTTACAGAAAGCCTTACATAAGGCAGACTATCTTGGATAGGCTTCAGGTTTTTTTTTTTTTTTAGCACAGTTTAGTTTAGATTTTTTTTTAAAAATTAACTAGAATCCTGATAAGCATAATAATCTCTTCAGACCACCATTAAAAAGTCTTGTGAGAATAAGAGGAAAAGCAAATGAAGTTACAAAGTGTCAGATGAGAGTTGATTTAGAAAGATTGGAGAGAACTTGTGTTCTTCCGGTTTCACAAATGTTCCCAGTTCGTGGCTGGGAATGCATATGGGAGAGTTGTTTGGTTCCAATTGAGTGCTTTAATTTCCATGGCATAGTTAATCAGGAAGAAAGTTACAAAGATTCCAAGACAGTAATCCAAGAAGAAAATTTAAAGTGAAACTTTATTTGGAGTGTCTCAGATTTCTTAATAGAAAAGTCTAAGGGAAGTGAGGATTTTAAGGAAAAATTGTTAGGGGAAGAAGTGTCATCTGAATTGCACGCTGGTGATAACTACAAACTCTGGAGTCCCTCCTTGTTCAGTTACCTTTCAGGATTAATTCTGACTCTGTTACAAAGGAAAGTGGGGTTTTTGTTGTGGGTTGTTTTTTTTTAATCTGAAAAGGTCTTCAAATACCTATTAAGTCTGTTATCTGGGAGACTTAATTCTCTAACATCTTGCAGGATAGATGTGAAGGTGTTGTATCAACATGTTTTAGAAGTTAGCAGGTTCTAGTTGCTTCATAACATTTAGCAAGTAAGGGGTTTCTTTAGATGTTTTATGTAATGTAATGATGCTATACCTGGAATCTGTAGACTAACATTTAGAAAAAATCTTCATCAGTATTTAACAACTGAAAATAATAGATTTATAGCTTATAGAGTTAAATACTAAATTATATTAAAGCTAGTAATATTTTGAATTAAAAAAGACACTAAGATTATGTCTACCACTTGCTTTAATGAGGCTGTGAGACCTTTGAATAACTAAGCAGTTCCCAGTGAGAAAAATGCATTAGTTCAGATACAGGTGGCGGTCTTGTGAAATGAGAGCCCTTAACAGCTTGCTTTCCCCTGGATTTTTCCTCCAAAACTAAATAAAAATAGTAGCTTGTCATTAATGCTACACTATGCAAACAAGGATTCTTCTGGGACAGACTCCAGTAGTCTCCACACTCCTTTTCTTCTGCTTGAGGGTATGTATGGAAGCTGTGAGATGTTGTCATCTTCTTACTTAGTTTTATGTGCGCATAAGGAGGAATTCACTCTAGAAATGGTCCCTCAGTTCTACTTTGTGTGGAAGGAATCTCACTGGACCTGGAAATTACCATTCTACTTTTTGATTACAGGGAGCTGAGGAGTGGTTTGTGTGCAGTCAGTGCTAAAAAAGTTATTGGAAGTGATAGTCATGCGAGGTTGTAAAAGAGATCTGACAGAGGGATGGTGTATTTTCCAGAGGAAAGACATGTTCATACAGTTGCATATTATGCTGTAACAGAAAGCCAAAAGCTGGTTATCCTAGACTGCTTAAGTTTTGGTCTCGTCCAACTTTAATCTCATTCCTCTTCTCCTTTTTGAAGGTTGTCTTGCAACTGAAATGATGGCATTCAGATCACTGACGGTATCTGCTGGCGATGGCTCCATGATTGACTTGAACAAAAAAACCCCAATTGTTCTCCACAAAGCCTCAAGTTGTTTATGCTATAAAATCCTGAAGTGAGAAGGCCATTATGACCAAATAAACTATTAATCCTTTGAAAATAATAAAATCTTGTGTCTGTTTGGCCAAAAATATATAAATCCAATGTACAGTTGCTTTTACTACTAAAGATTTAGAGAACTATCAAAAAATAATCACTTAATGATGTGTGCCATGTTTGTTTTGGTTAAACTTTGGCAGAGACTGCACAGGTGCCTAGTAAAATGAAGGCATCTTACTTGCATAGTATGTTATCTAAGGTGCCAGGATAATGAAGAACATGACAGAGTACTTGTAGCATTAATGTATTTATACTTGTAAATAAACACTTGATTTTGTGTGTAATTGCAGTCAGTTCTGTCTTGATTTATTATTCACTAAACTCAGAATCTTTTTAGATGCTGGGAAAAATCAGCTTTACAAACAAAAGCAGTTCAGAATCACAGAATGTCTGAGGTTGGGAGGGACCTCTGGAGGTCATCTTATCCAACCCCCCTACTCAAGCAAGGCCATGTAGAGCAGGCTGCGCAGGACCACGTCCAGATGGCTTTTGAGTGTCTCCAAGGACGTTGACAACCTGTTCCAGTGTTCAGAAGTTGAAGAAGCAGCACTGGGGCTTTAGTCAGAGTAAAGTTTGGGTTTTTAGCTTGGGAGCTTGGGTTTTGTATCTTAGTTGATGGCTTTTCACTTAAATATGTCAGCGTTTTCAAAAGGAGGTGTAGTGCTGGAGGGAAAGACTATGAAGACTGTGAAAAGGCTATTTATTCCCAGCCCACATAACAGAGCAGAGAATGGTAAATGGTAGTCTAAATCTTTCTGAAAGCAGTATGTAACAAAAGTTAGAAGCTGTCTAGACAAGCATACACCAGGAATCTTTATGTTTTTTTTCTATTTGTTAAACTATTTTTCCATATGTAAAGAGCAAATTATCTGTAATGCTTACCTAAATACTAATGTGTACTTCTCTGTGTATGCATATGCATGTTTGTATATATAAAAACATATAAAAAGGCAAAGTGTTGATGACTTACCATCTTCACCATTTCAAAATCTGGGGTCTTGGGTTTCTTCTACTGTATTTTGTTGTGCCATAGGTTTTCATATAAGCAAAGTGTAAAATGATACATCTGTACAAAAAGTTGGACTTCCCTAGGACTGGTTAGAAAAGAGGAAGAGGACAAGGTCTGTGGCAGAAAGGCCTCTACAAAAAAAAATTTACTAGGCTTCACAGCCTGCTAGATACATGTTTCTAATACTAAAACTGGCATAGGAGTTTTCTGTGTCAGAGAATTTTTTTTTTAAATGTATGTGTGTCTATAAAACGTAGTCTGTTTCCCTTTTATTTGGTACTGGTACATTTAGTCAGATGTGCATGTAGTTCAGTGTCAGCAATTCAAGAAAGATCAGAAAGTGGAGAAGGGGATTAAGAGTTGTAGGAATGAAAGACTGGAAAATATATCTTACAATGAAGGGACTGCAATCTCTTTAACAGATATGGCTTGTGTTTCACCTTTAGTATCATCCTGTATTTGTCCTGTCCTTTACTGCAGCACTGAACAGGAAAGGCTGAAGAATAATTTTTCAATGATTTTTTCTTTTTTAAAAAAAGACAGTTTCTGTTATGATGTGACAGTAATGCATATACAATGAGCTGCTTTTTTGTGGGTGTTAGACTTTATTGAAAGTCTTGAGTATTGTTGATATAACCATCAAAATGATGTTTTTGGCAGGGGGTATAACAAGGGCCATGTGAATGGCTAGAGAGGGGGAGGAGCACCAATTGACACACAGTTGAGAACTAGCAGCTGAAACACAATTGTTATGGAATTGCATTTGAAACATGGATCCTGACCTTACATTTCTACAGAGGAATGAACTGTTTGTAAGACATGTAAGTGGCCTCCAGTAGATGGCAAGGAAAAGGGCCAAACAGAACGGAGAAGAGTGCTTGCTGCTCTGTGCTTTGTACCATCTGTCAGAAGGTGGTTTCGTTCTGCCTCTGCTCTGAGAATTACGTAGTTCCGGAGTAAGCAAGGTCTCCAGTTGTGACAGATTAGGCGTTTGTGGGGACTGCACCAGGACAAATTGATGCAAAAAGGTAGAGATTTCACAAACCCCATTATACTGGTGTCAGCTTCAACATACACTTTGATGAGTGCAGGTAGATGTGAAAAGGCAGTGAATAGTGGAAACATATAAAACAAGCTCATGTGGCCAGGAGCATGTCTGTCAAGTCTGACATGCTTCCTTCTGGGCTGAAGAATGGGGCATTGCATTTCCCCCCAGGTTTTCATACAGTGCAAAGTGCTGCAGTATATGTCAGAGTCTCTGGAGGAACTGTATGCTGGGACCAGAGTGAAATACAGGAACTGCACTGGTAAGAAAAGCCATGGAGGGGCTGTGATGTGAAGAGCATCATGTACAAAGCCACTTGTGTCTATGAATAAGGGGGGAATCAGGGAAATCTTCGGAAGGCATAGGAATAAGACCAAGTTGCAGGTGTTTAAAGATGCTCCATTAACATCAAATAATTTTGTCTTTGCTTATCTGCTCACTTTGCCCATATCTGTATTATTCTGTGTTCTTCCTCTTTCTAATTAGCTGGTTATGGTAAATTGAATGGCTTTGGTGTTGGCGCATCCCACTCATGCTGAATTCTAGTGGCTGTTCCCCTTTTGTCCTGTTTTAAGGGACATGTGTTCAGCCCTGCAGAGCAGCTTGCTTCTCAGTCCTGCAGTCACATGAGCAAAAAAAAGAGGAAAATAACCATTATAAATATATTGGTGAGACCTCTGTGGTTTTGCAGGTACTGTGTACAGACCCCTTAAGCATGTAATTAAGACCAGAAACAAAATTTTGTACAGTAGACTCTTTGAACCAAAAGTCCTAACAAAAACAGTACATCTAATGGACACACTGTATGAAGTTTTAATTTTAACAGGTAAAAAGCACCTACAGAAATTTACAAATTGCATGAACAGACCTGCAATTTGAAGCAGAAAATGTAACATATCTTGATACAAAATATAAAAGTGAATTATAAAAATTATGTTACTTGCCCTCCACTGGCATTCATTGCACTTCTCTCCATTTCACAGAAATCTTCCCTTGATTTCAGAAAAATCATGTTTTTCTTGATCAACCATTTCAGCTTTGATCTTGGCACACTAAAGTGAATCAGAATTGGATCTGACCAGCAAACTGTTAGTATGGAAGTGACTACTGTAATAAAACCGCTTTTGCAACAAAGCAATTGTGTATGTCAAGAAGCTGTGTTTTTAAAAGATCTGTACAAGCCTGTAGAACATTTCTGAGTTCTGGTGCAAGCCTTTCTTATAAGAAACACACTGAAACATGATTATGCTTTTATCTGAAAAGTTATTTTAAGAACCTTATCCTGAAGTATGCACACTTTGTTACCACTTTGAGCTGTGAATTAATATTTATAATGAAGTATCAGAAAAAAAGGGATTTTTACTCTTCTGGTACTGGAGGATGCTTTAATGGGTGCATCAAGATAGTCCACCAAGTTTTTTACTTCTTTAAATATGCTTTAACTACATTAGCAATATACTATGCTTCCCTCTGTAAATGTATATTTTATACATACTTCAACACCACTCCAGAAAGACTCCAGGGATCCCCAGCAACTGCAGATTTGGATGATGGTAGTGTATTATTAGGGCAATTGGTGATGTATCTTTCTTAATCACTATTGATAATTCTATGTAGTAATGATTAGATGCATTACCTTATTTTATGCTTTCTATAGTAGTTTGCTTATTATTTTGCTGCTTAATCTTATTTTGCTTTAATTTATTCTCACTGTATTATTTTTCTCATTATTTTATCACTTTAAACATAAGTAAAAATAAGCTTACTTTTTTTTTAATTTAGTGCCTGGGTCCTTTGTGCTAACCCCGTCGATTGGCAAAAGAGCAGACAGCATAATTAGAGCTCATTGTGCACTCCAAGACAGTAAGAAGACTGAAATCACCTGGTCTTCCTTTAAAAAATTGCCAGATTTCTCATTTGTCTCTTAATTCTTTCACCCTGTGCATATACTTTTCAGTATCATCACATGCTGAAATTCAATATTCTTCTGTGATCTCCTGCCTTCTTTGGGCCGCAGGATGGATATCTATTGGGGTAGGAAGAAACATACAATCACAGATGTGGTTTTTTTATGCTTTTTTCAATGCAGAAAGCATTTAAAAACACTTTCAGTGTTAGCAATGCATCCTTAGTACATGGGAATTCATGAGAAGGGGCAGAGGTTCGGCAATAATGGGAAACAGAAGCAGTTGGCAGAACACAGCCCCCAGCTCTGGATGACTTTCCTCACAATTTATCTGAAGAAATTCTCCACTTGCAGTACAAAGGGATAGAACATTTTCTATAAGGGTGAACAGCAGGTAATACCAAAATGGAAACTTGTGTGCTCTTCAGTGGTAGCATAAAGCATGGGAATGTTGTCAGAAATATTCCTGTGATACTGAAAGTATTATTTTTTTCTAACTAATAAGGTTGGGGTTCATTGAGTCCCTTTCTGCCGGAGAAAAGGGGTGGATTAGCATGAGCTTTGTCCTCTGCTCAGCTAGCTGCTTTGTTGAAACTTGTAAGAATGTAGTACCTCACAGATCCTTACTGTTCTGCTATCTTTTGGTTGAAATTGCCAATGGATTCAAATGTTGTTGGGAGACTCCCAGGCAGGCACACAAATATGCACACTGAGGGACAGTAGAAGCCCATATCCTTGGGAAAACCCAGCTAAAAAGGACTTCCAGTACAAATTGCATGAGACAGCTGCACAAATTGTCAGGGGGTTTAGCTGAAATCTAATTAGCAATAGGACCTTATCTATGATGATCATGAAGTCTGGTTCCTAAGGGCAGGCAGACTGACTACTAAAGTACAACAGTGATGGAGCTTAGCATTACAGCATTACTCACGTTTA